GTCATGTGGATGGGGGCAAATGGGGTGGTCGGTCGGCGACGTGTCGACTGCGGGGTTCCACAAGGGGCCGTTTTGGGCCCGGTACTGTGGAACCTCGGCTACGATTGGCTCCTGCGGTGTCCGCTCCTTCCCGGGCTGGGTGTCATCGCCTACGCTGATGACACCCTGGTGACGGCCCGGGGTCGTTCATATGAGGAAGCGGCACGCTTGGCCACAGTCGGAACAAATCTGGTCGTCGACCGGATTGGGATGCTGGGCCTGAGGGTCTCCATAACCAAAACGGAGGCCCTCCTTTTCCATGGCCCACGCAAGGGTGCCCCTAGAAATGCCTGCCTGCGCGTCCAGGGGAGGATGGTGGAGGTAAAGGCCCAAATGAAATATTTGGGCCTGACCCTGGACGCTCGCTGGACGTTCCGTGTCCACTTCGCCCAGCTCACCCCGAAATTGATGAGCGCCGCCTCGGCCCTCGGCAGACTTCTGCCGAACGTCGGGGGCCCTGGATCTCCTTGCCGGCGGCTTTATGCCGGCATCGTGAGGTCCATGGCACTGTACGGTGCTCCTGTTTGGATTGACGCCCTCGCTGCTGAGAACAGGGCCCAATTGCGCAGGGCGCAGCGGGTCCTGGCGGTGAGGGCGATACGGGGGTACCGTACGGTGTCCTATGAGGCGGCGACGCTTCTGGCGAGCGATCCGCCCTGGGAACTCCAGGCGGAGGTGCTCGCCGAAGTGTACCAATTTCGGGCGAGTGAGCGTGGGCGCGGGGAACGTCCAGCGTGGGAGGGAGTCGCTCGGATCAGGCGCCTAGCTGACGAGGCCCTGATCCGGCGCTGGAGGGAAGATCTGGGGACTCCGGCGGCTGGCCTGGCGACGGTGGGTGCGGTTCGTCCGTACCTGTCTCGCTGGGTCAGGAGGCCACACGGCGTCCTGACGTTCAGGCTGACACAGATGCTTACCGGGCACGGGTGCTTTGGTAAGTATCTGTGTCAGATTGCACGTCGGGAACCGTCGCCCGTATGCCACGAGTGTGGTGCGTCCGAGGACACCTCGCACCACACCCTCGCGGTATGCGCCGCATGGACTCCCCAGCGCCATGCCCTGATGGCGGTAGTGGGTGGAGACCTTTCGTTGCGAAGCGTGGTGGGGGCCATGCTACGCGACGCGAGGTCCTGGTCGGCGATGGTCTCCTTCAGTGAGACCGTCATCTCACTGAAAGAGACGGCGGAGAGGGAACGCGAGGCTAACGCCTTAGCAGACCCTCTTCGTCGCCGTCGGCTGGGGGGGAGGAGGCGCCGGTATGCGCATCTTCTCCCGCCACCCTAGAGGAGCTACTGCGGGGGGGTCTCTCGTTGACTCCCCTGCACGTCATCGGGGCGGTCGGGATGCCCTGCGAACCGAGGGCATCCTGATTTAGGCGAGGCTGGCCCGCGTGGTACGGGCCGTCCGCAGGGGTGTTGCAGTGAATGCGAAAGCGATCCTGCACGCCCCATTGCACTGCGGCGAAGGGTTCCGCTGTGGGTTTTAGTGAGTAGGAGTCTCACAGTACCCTGCCCATGACGGCGGCAGGGTCCCCATGATGGGTTTCCCCAGCGAAAACAAAAAAAAAAAAAAAGGTTAGAACAGTTGCCATAAATGACTAGAAAACTAGAAAATTCGAATTTCACGCAAAGTACAAACAAAGACAATCATCTGGAGATCATTTTGACAATTGAAAGTGACGTTTTGACTCCAAGTGTCTAAATGGTAGTAATGTCAAAATAATGTATGGAAATGTTGTAACTTTAAGTCTCAATAACTTTTTACTCGTACGTTTCCGGAAAAATTTTTATTTAACATTTCGACTCCCTATCACGTCCCCTATCCAGCAATACCACCCACTCCGCCAGGGGCCACGTCCCCTATTCTAAGCTGCAGCCGTCTTTAGAACCGCAACAGTTAAGCAGGGTATACATATTTTTCTTTCTGTTTACCGTTTAAAATTGTTATTTAAATTGTACAAGTTCTAAAATTTATTTGTTTTGTCAGTTGATCACAAGTCACAACTTCAAATGTCATAAGTCAGTTGTTACAACTTGGCACAGATAGTTAATATTTCTAGCAATATTGTTACTCTGTTGTGTTGCGTTCAACATTTGTTAATGTATGTTATGTTAGTAAAAATTATTCTTGTAGTCAACTTATGCCTGAGTGAGCATAGTGTTTTTTTTTTGGCTCATTATTTAGTTATTATATAACTGTATATCTATATTTATATGTATTTTATTATTATAATTTTTTTTCTACGTATATCATATATTTTTTTATTTTATTTTAATATGGATGAGGAATATTTCTCTTGTTCTTCCGACACTTCCGAAAGTGCGGAAATAGTATTAATACCTCTTTTTCAGATGTTGAAACACTCGAAGTAAAACTGTCGAATATTTTTGCCACTAATACTAATTCCCTTACCATGGTGCATATCAATGCGCAAAGCATACTCGCTCATTATACCGATTTTCTCACATCCTTTGGTGCTGCCGTAGTCGACTGCATTCTTATCTCTGAAACCTGGTTAAAGCCCTCACTCCCTTCTACTAGTTGCTCGCTTCCGGGTTATCAACTTTTTCGTAATGATCCCACTGATCAAGGTGGCGGTGGCGTAGGTATTTGACGCCTATAAAAAATTACGTAACATCTGCAACAGAATGTGTAGGGATGCCAAACGTCGCTATATTCATTCCACGATTCAGGATCTCTGTCAAGCGCAAGTCTGGAGATTCCTATCGTCACTGGGTGTGGGCAAGACCACAGAAAAAATTATCACTTTACCACTCCACCCATTACTTTAAATTCTGACATAAAAACTACTCTCTCTTATTCTTATCCAGTCTTGCCCCCCCTGACCTACCACCATTCGTCTTTAATCCAGTCTCAGTAGATGATATAAAGAAGTGTGTCCGCTCTATTTCAACAAAAGCCATTGGTAGTGACAACATCAGTCTTGAGATGGTTCTTCCCGTACTAGAGGATATTACACCTGTGATCTCCCACATCATTAATTTCTCACTCACACGCAATGTCTTCCCATCAGTGTGGAAGAAAGCCATCGTCATTCCACTGCCTAAAACCTCGAATCCTACCTGTCTCTCCCAATACCGTCCTAAATCTATCCTTCCTATCCTATCGAAACTCATAGAATCATTGACTCATAAAAAACTTTACTCATATCTGTCTCACCATAATCTTCTATGCCCTTACCAGTCCGGCTTTCGCTCTTCACACAGCACGGTGGGAGCCCTGCTGAATATCACGGTGGATATTCGTGGTGCAATGGATAACACCATGCTCACTGCGATGGTCTTGCTTGATTTTAGCAGTGCTTTCAACTCTGTTGACCTTGACATCCTGATTGAAACTCTTCGTGCGGTCAACATTTCTCCTACTGTTTTAGACTGGTTTCACTCTTATCTCTTCGGACGTCAGCAGTGCGTGAAAATCAACGATACATTATCGGATTGGTTAGATCTTACTGCTGGTGTCCCTCAAGGCGTCGTACTTTCCCCTTTGCTTTTTTCCATCTTCATTAATAACATTTCAAAAGTCTTTTCTTCTCCCTTCCATCTGTATGCAGATGATTTACAGATATACCGACACTTTGAGCTGACCGAGTTGCATGACGCTATTGGTGCATTAAACTCGGACCTTGCTGAAGTCCAACTATGGGCTGAGTCTTTCGGCCTTCTTGTGAATCCCAGCAAATCACAGTGCATAATATTTGGCAGTAGTAGACTAAGGTGCAAAATCGACTGGACTTCAATACCTCAAGTCGAGTTTTCTGGTGTTCCAATCCCTTATTGTGATAGAGTGAAAAACTTGGGCCTAATAATGGATTGTAACATGACCTGGGTAGCTCATGTCAACGAGGTCAGTAAACGAATGCATCACTCTTTCCACTCTCTCAAGCGTCTCCAATTCTTTCTACCCTTTAGTACCAAGATTATGCTTGCTCAAACCCTTCTTCTCCCCATACTTGACTACGCTGATGTGTGCTATTTGGATGTGACTGAGGAGCAACTTAACAAACTAGAGCGTCTCCAGAATCTAGCTATTCGCTTTATTTTTGGCTTGCGCAAGCATGACCATGTATCAAACTTTCGTGCTCAACTTAAATGGCTCCCAATCCGACTTCGCCGTGATATGCACATCCTTTCCTTCCTCTTCAATATTCTTAACGACCCAAATTCTCCTCCCTACCTTCGTTCCCGTATCCAACTACTCCCTATCCCCTCACGTTCCAGGCGGTCTTGCGTCATGTCAATGCTCGACATACCAAAGAGTAAGACACATTTTTTTTCGCACTCTTTCTCAGTATATGCCTCATTACTCTGGAAAAAACTCCCTAAATACATCCAAAAAAGCCCCTCCATAACTTCTTTTAAAAAAATTTAAAACAGTACCTTCTGTCACAAATTGGTCCTTAATTTTATCATCTGATTTACTATTTTTATGTATTCCAAATGCATACGATTATATTTATACTTTAATATGTATATATATGTATGTATATATGTATGTATATGTGTATATAGTATGTATAGTATGTAAGTTTTTGTATATTTATCATTATATGTGTTTTTTTTATCTTATTTAATTGTATAATAATTAATAATTTTATCTTAAATCAATTGCACACTTTTAGTCCCGTCATATAACACTATTTCTCACTTCCTTAGGTTGGCTGGAAGAGATCTCTTCTAGAGATAAGTCCACCTTTGCCCACATTGTTCTCTGTATTATCTGTGTTACTCTGTTAATATGCAATAAAGAATATATAAACTGACTATAGAAACGAGACGTTTTTTTTGTGTATGTAAGCTACGCAATATTCCATGTCGTCTATTTTTATCCACTTTTAATGATTACATATATTTTGTAGAATAATAACTTTTACAGTTATTTTTAGGTAATATTACTGTTTATTAAAACAAATGAAATTAATTAAAATGATTTAAAACTTTCAGGGCTAAAGTTCAAGCCATTCATGGATCTTCTGTTAGAGCTAGCAATAGAGAAAGGAGCGTTCAATGACAGTGAGATTAGAGAACACGTTGACACTATGATTGCAGTCGGTCATGATACTTCAGCGAGTGTCCTCATGTTCAGTATGTTGTTAGTCGGTTCCTATCCACACGTGCAACAGAGAATATTTGAAGAGTAAGTAGAGTACCTAATAGTAAAGTAAATACTTATTAATATTTTATTATTACAATGAATGTACTCGTATTGTACAGTATTTGTAATTCTGGGTCTATGCTGCTCTCCTACCTATCTGGGATAGAAATAATACGAAAACTTGCGTATTATTTGTAAACTTTTTGATGGAATTATTTTGCAGTAACATTATTCTTCGTCGATCGCTAGAATATCTTAAGTACAAAAAAAAACCCACAGATCTCGTGTCTGCCACTACCTTCGGATAAATACTTTAGTATTTAAAAAAATAAGTTTGTGTTTCATATTATTTCTTAAAGATATTATGGAAAACATTAATTTTTGCGATCGTAATTAAAATTATCTAGTATTTTAAAAGATATTTCACGTATATTCTGTGAATTAATTTTCGTTTTAAGTATTTAGCAAGCTCCACTTACCACCTATTACCTACCTACCTACCTACCTCCCTAGTATACAGCTATTTTTCCCCCGGGTCACATCCAGCAAACTGAGTGGCCACTATAATTTTTTATAGATCACTCGCAGTATTATCCCATTATACACTACAGCTTAGGTGGCTTATTCACAACAGGTGTGCCAACCTTCACAAGGACAGAACACAATTTTGTGGTGAACTGCTTCATCTATTTGCATCACTGAATTGGCAGACCTATATTCTATTTCTGACTCTTCAAAGGACTTAACTTATTAAAATCAAAATCAGTCGATGAAAGTTTGTATGAAACTCGGTCATTATTAATGTGAAATGCACGAAAAGTGGTATTTAGCTTTAAAATTAAAATCAAACAAATACGTATATCAGAATTTTTCGAAATTTATCCATTAAAGGGGCAAAAGGGGGTGCTAAAATTTATATGAAAAAAAAAAGTGTGTAATGTGATAGGACTGCGAGTAATCTAAAAAAAATTATCGTGGCCACTGTATTTGCTGGATGTGCTCGGGGGGAAAATAGCGATAGTGGAGCTTGCTAAATGATTTAAACGAAAATTAATTTACAGAATATATGTTTAATATCAAGTATCTTAAATACTTGATATTAATTATATTGAGTTAAGATTGCTAAAATTAATGTGTTTTCCGTAACATATTTAAGAAATAATATGAAACACAAACTTATTTTTCATAAATACTAATTTTGTCAAATTATTTATTTTAGTGTGTAAATATATTAATACAAACAACACCATATTCGGCGGTACGGAACTCTTGATGGGCGAGTCAAAATCATGCTTACACTTTTGAAAAACATTATAGCCGTCAAATATAAATATTAGTTATAACATAGCCAAAGACTTTTTTGTTTTTTGAACGCGGGCGAATGGCCAATGTTTCTGCTAGTAATTTATATTTTAAAAAATTAATTCAGTTCATTTGGCATTATTTTTCAATGTACCGGAAGGTCGTGGCAGACACGAGATCTGTGGTTTTTTGGTTGAACGGAAGACGTGAACGTGAAACGGAAAAGGACACGAAAGACTTTCAAGTCAAAAAAATGGATAATAATAATTTTATTTAATAAGAGATGAATTTGAATATAACTAAAATAATATTCTAAAGGCTTGGCTATTTGCAGATTAAATGATGTTTTTGGTGATGACGATAGAGACCTAACGAAGTATGATTTGTCACAGTTATTTTATTTGGAAGCTGTTTTAAAAGAGACAATGCGTTTTTACCCAATCGTTCCAATCATAGCTAGATATCTAGACAAGAATGTGAAGTTGCGTAAGTGTCATTGCTAATTTAATTTTTAAAATTATATGTTTTTATTTGATAAACATATGGTAGTATTTTATGTTAGAAATATATGGTAGTGTACCTACCGTAGCAGTGGTATGAAGCTTTGCTGCGTAGGGATATGTACTCATGTACTAAAAACCCCAGTAATAATTTAGTAACGCGATATAAAACAATTATAAATATCCTCTGTTTACAATTTCGCCTACAATTTCTCAGGTAACTGCACGCTGACTAAAGGCCGCTCTTGCGCTATGTTAGTTTATGGGGTACATCGCCACCCCGTGTGGGGTCCCGACGCTGAAGAGTTTAAACCTGAGCGATGGCTCGACCCCACTACTTTACCTGAATGTTCGACGGCTTTTGCTGCTTTTAGTATGGGAAGAAGAAATTGTATAGGTACGTTTATCATGATTAAAATTTAAAAGCTACAGAATAAAAAACCCCCGATTTTTGTCCTTACTATCACATTAAAGCCGAATATATTATAAATGTATATTTATTGATGTACTGTATTGTTACGTATGAAAGCTTATGGATAATATTATATAGATACTACATACTTTTTGAGTAAATATACTTAGTGTTTGGACATGTTTTTTTTGTTTCTTTGCGTTTTTCATTTGGTGTATTCGCCAACCATTATCTGCGCAACTATACGGTTGCCTTTCTAATATATGTAGGTTGTCTGGAAGAGATCACATTCAGTGATTTTTTTACATTGTTATATTGTTTTTGGTGAAATCAAGGAATAAACATATATGCGAGACAAATTTCATCAAGAATATTTGTGCTGTTCTCATTTGTATTTTTAATTAGAATTAATATTATCGCATTCAAATACAACATTATTTATTACTAGCGAAAAACAAAAAAAAACCTATCCCACGGGACCCATACATTTTTACGGGATACAAAATAGTCTGTATATTATTCTAGACTATAACCTATCTCCGTGTCAAATTTCATCCAGATCTGTTCAGCCATTCTGGCGTGAAAGAGTAACAAACATCCATACTCACAAGCTTTCACATTTATAATATTTAATACATATTTAAATATATGATTAATATCAGGCCTTTAACACAGGCCTGATATTAATAATTTGCCACGTCGGTCTATTTATAGTGGCTGGCATGCACATCCGAGTATCTTAGGTTCAACTCCCAGGTCGGGCAAATTATAATTGGGTTTTCTGTAAAGTAAAATTCAATAACAGCCCAATGTTAGGAAATTGTTGGAATTGCACCTCCACTGCCTCGGAGTGGACGTTAAGTCGGTCTTGCGCCTGTTCTCTCACTGATTGTGTCGAATTGTGGTCTCACCGGAGTATGAGAGCGGCAAGAATAGAGAGTGCACTTGTGTTTGCGTATACACTTGTGCACTATAATATCTCATTCGAACATGTATGTATGTATGTATGTATTCAGCCCTTTTTAATGTCCCACTGCTGGGCACGGGCCTCCCTTCAATACGAGGGGGATCAGGCCATAGTCCACCACGCTGGCCAAGTGCGGGTTGGCGGACTTCACATGTCTTTCGAAAACTTGCTAGGTTCTCTCAGACATGCAGGTTTCCTCACGATGTTTTCCTTCACCGTAAGGCAAGTGGTAATCATGTTAGAAATGATTCGCACATGAAAATATCAGAGGTGCGAGACCCGGGATTTGAACCCGCTTCACTCGGTGTCCCAAGCGAGCGTGTTACCACTGGGCTACCACTGCCTTTATATAATATAATATATTCATGTTCATTCGAACATGAATATATTATTATTCATAAACTCTTATAAATATAAAAGTATAACTATTTATATGATACATGTACATATTTATTTATAAATTACTTTTACAATGTATCATTAATATAAATCACTTTCTGTTCCAGGAAAGTCATACTCTTACATGTTCATGAAAACTACGTTAGCACATCTGTACAGACATTTCAGGGTTAAGGGCGACCACACAAAATTACAAGCTAAAATAGATGTTATGTTGAGACCGGAATCTGGATATTACATAACGATTGAGAGAAAGAAGAAATAACTGACAGAATAATAGTCGTAGAGCAATAGGCGCATTTTAAAGTAGAATTTTAAATTGATATAAGATTGTAATGGACGTCAAAACCTTATAAAAATATTGCTAAGTTTTATTAAAGTTCGTTAAATAGATCTAGAACTACGGCTGAAATAAACTTGAGTGAAGCCACAGGCTGAATTCAAATAAAAATAGTAGATTATATATGCAGGTACTAAATATACCTATTATGTTATTAAATCATAATATGTAAATCAATTATGTTTTATTTAGGAAAAAGTTAATAGATTTTTTTTTGTTTATTAGTATATATGTACTTAAACCTCTCCTCTAAAATTTGTGGTATATTACTATAATACTTTTAATAAGGTTTTTTTTTAATTTTAATAATTAGTCTACAGTTCCCAACGGATTTTTTTAATGATAACAACAATAATGGCAACAAGCTAAAACTTCGTGAGTAGCTTCATTTTAGCGAGGCGTCCAACTATTAATTTTATGAGAATTTGATAGTGGTAGATACAATTGTGGCTTGATGATTAAAGTTTTAAAATAAATAAAAAATAAAGGTTATGTTATTTGAGTTGATATTGAGTTTGTTTCTTTTTAGTTATCCTTTTTGTTTTTATAAATTAAAATTGTAATTATATCGGTAGTATGTTATTTTTGTTATTAATTATAATAATTTCGTAGATATTGTTTATGGTTGTGGTATAAATAATATGGTGCATGTTTTATATCCAGTTTTTTGATAAGTTATATAATGTTCAACTGAGCGTTCTGTAAATAAATAAAAATGGAACATGTCGAAATGGTGATTGTTTAGAATTTATTACGAACAGATTGTTTGAGATTTTTTGACATTTAATCTTGAGGTAATCCCACATTAAACAAGAAAAAAATGTTGTCCTACAAAACAGAAGGTTTGGAACAAATCGTCCCCCTCTCCGCATTTGTCAAAAGAACAGCGTATTTATTTATTTATTTGCAAGATATGCCAACAATACATTGTACCTACATTCTAAATTATTATGGAATAAGATTACTTATTCTAGTACAAGCATTAATTATAGGTATACACAACATTGATTACATTTCCGGTTTTAAAACAATAATATATAAAATGTTAAATACAATTTAAACAAATATTTATAATAGAAAACTTTTTAACAAAAAAATAACAACCAACTTCAAACAAAAGCACTAAAAAGTAAAAAATAAGTGATTGGTAGTTTTCATTTACTATACATACCTAATCAAATATTTTCGAAGTCGGTGTGCTTTGGCTAAGTAATTAAAGCCTACCTATTAAATACATACCTTATCAAATATTTTCGAAATCGGTGCCAGCCCATACAAAGCAAAGCACACCGACTTCGAAAATATTTGATTAGGTATGTATAGTAAATGAAAACTACCAATCAGTTATTTTTTACTTTTTAATTTAACTGCCTCGGTGGTGTAGTGGCTAGCATGTACGGCTGCACACCCGGAGGTCCTGGGTTCGAGTCCCGGGTCGGGCCAAGTTTAGTTATTGAGTCTTCCTGTATAGTAAGTCTCAGTAACAGCCCGGAGTTGGGAAGTTGGCGGTGTTTCACCCCCGTGCCTCGGAGAGCACGTAAAGCCGTCGGTCCTGCGCCTAACTCTCACCGGTCGTGTCGAGTGGTCGTCCCACCGGAGTATGAGAGTGATAGGAATAGAGAGTGCACTTGTGTCTGCGCGTACACTTGTGCACTATAATATCTCCTGCGCAGTTGGCTAATCTCATTGAGATTGGCCGCCGTGGCCGTAATCGGCTAGGAGAACATCACTTTTTAGTGCTTTTGTTTAAAATCGGTTTTTATTTTTTTGTTAAAAAGTTTTTATTTTTCCCTTTTTAGTGTAGACAGTAGTAGCAAAGTAAGAATTCTAAAGTGTTAGGCTTGTCAAACCAAACAAAATAAGCCCAAACTCAAAGTATCTACTATTAAGGCCAGAAGGTGGATAGGTGGAACTCTTCAACCTATCCACCTTCTGGCCTTACCATCAGATCAGGTCAACAATACCGAACCACTGTACTATGAACGGAAATAGAAACACTTGCAAAGTTTCAAGTCAATATGACAATTAGAAGTACGTTAAATTAATTATTAGCTATTTTTCAACCTTTAGGGGTGGTAATTTTTTGGAAATTTAGATGGGACCGATCTGGAAGTATACCCTTTCAAACAAAACAAAAATTGTCCAAATCGGTTAATAAATGACGAAGTTCTGAGGTAACAAACATAAAAAAATACAGTCGAATTGAGAACCTCCTCCTTTTTGAAGTCGGTTGATAAAATTAACTTAAAGATTACAAGAATTCCTGAACACATATTAAATACTTTAATTAAATTAATGAAAATATAAATTAATGTCAAAATTAGAATAATACAATAAAAATAATAATTAATATTTATAATTTGAAACTACTATACTTATTAAATTATATAATTATATTAGTACTAGAAAACACAGTTCAGTCATACAAATATATATATTTTTTGAAGTTATTTAAAGTGTCGTTAAAAATATCAATTTCAATGCCATTGTCAGTATTTAGTAGACTATTGTACGCATTAATTAAACGGTTTACGTAAATGGTATAAGTAAAATTTATTATTAACCTCCTAATTTCAAAAGTATTTATTATTAAAAATATGCATAATTGAATGATCAAATCGTCCTACAAATAAAATAGTAGGATTTCTTAATCCTAAGCTCGTATATCGTCTCCCACACGGTGATACTTTATTCATTAATAATAAGCTTTGGGGCTCTTCTAATACAGGCAAAAATTACTTGCTTAAAATGACCTCAACCACACACTTTGTTTACACTATAATATCTTTACGCAAATAAAATATTTTTATTTATTTAATCTATCTAATTTTTGTTTTTTCTTTCAAAATAAAAAGAAAAACACGATATTACAATTGTCCTACAAATAAAGTGGTTTATCCATATGTCCATGATGTCTTATTTTTATTTGGATTTTTATAAGATTTCAAAAAAAACAATAATAATAAGGACTAGTGAAACAAGTGGAGTAGTAAACAAAAATCCTATAGAAATCCTATAGTTGATGACTTAGGCTGTACTAGCAAAGTTTAATAGTACAGTAGTTAGTACAGTCTAAGTATCAACTATAGAAATGCCAAATGGTTCTTGTGGAGGACGGGAGAAGGTCTGTCTCTTATATGACACGCTTTTTTCTTTTATCAACAATTTTTGTATTCAAAGATCAGTATTTCTTCACTTTTTTATCCTATCACTCGTAAAGTTTGATGGGACTATACTTTGCCATGACCAGTGGGAGTTAAGGCACAGGAACCATCGGCTTTACGTGGTCTCCAAGGCACGAGGGTGTTACAACGCCGACTTCCCCACTCAACCCTGTTACTGAGAATTTCTTAACAAATACAACGCAATAGTTTGTGACCCGAAAATCGAATCTAAAACCTCCGGATCTGCAGCCTAGTAGTACAATGGTAACCACTAAATCACCGAGATAGTTAAGTAACACATATTACGAGAGTTTATTGAATGTCAAAATAAATATGCTTGTATGTTCTATTAAAAATTTTGTAACTTCTCAATTATAAGAGCAACTGCTTTTGCTAGTTCTTCTTAGCAAAATTAGGGCATTATAATTGTTATTTTTTATCAAAATAAGTTTCTTATGTACTTTGGCCGTCTTAAAAAATAAAAGTAATAAATGTCACTCGTAGAAAAAGTCTAACTGCGTTTCAATAGGTTATGGGCCCAGTCCTATATTTGAGCAAAAATAAATAGTAGAATAATTTTGGTGGAAAAGTGTAAAATGTAAAGAGGTAGCTACGAGTATATCATTGACGTAGCCAAACTTAAAGGGCGAGAAAATTACGATGATTGGACTGTATGACTGTCTGTCTGTGCCCGCATAGCGAGAAAATCACTGGACAGATTTTGAAGGAAGTAAAGAGTGTCTACATAACAAACATTGCAATGTATGAATATACTAATATGTAAAACCTAAGAATTTAGTTTTCGGTCATCTGAACGCGGGCAGAGCCGCGGGTAATGCTAGTTCTTACCACTACAATTTAGTGTCCAAACCGGGCCAGCAACTATTACAAAGTAAAATACATATATGTATATTTGCCTGCCTGAAGAAATGTCTACAAGTATTGCATTTACCGCCCTTCCTTTTTGTACAAGTTTCAGAGAGCACCTCACATTAGAATTGTCTTATAGAAAGACACCATGGCGACAATAATGCACAGTTTGTGATGTTCGCCACCATCGCCTTGCTGTCTCGCTGAGCGTTTTATTTTTGCATTTGCGAAGGAACTGTATTGCAGATTTTTTGAAAATATTCCTCGTATCTAAAACGCCAGAATTAGAAATAATGGACACCAAAACTAGTACTAAGCTCGACTACTGTACAGAAAGAACCCGACGAACATTTGACTTTGAAACGACTTTAATCAACCCGACAAAATTGCAAAAAATGTACCACACATTCTAGGAAAAAACTCAATGTCAAGATTATAAAACGAATATTTGACATTTCACTAACTGGTCTCTCCCGTGACCATGAATGCTATAAAGCATTCGAAACGTCGGGAACCAAAAATCAAAATAAATCCGCGAAATAATCCAAAAAGATAGTTTTATTTAAAATTATAAAACGAGTTACAGTTGTTTGAAGCATTTTAAGGTTTGTATTTTTAAATTTACTAGCAGGTGCAACTGTCGCAATGCTAGTAAAAAATTAAAAGAAAAATAAAACATTTTTAAAAACAAGCTTTTATTTAAATACTGTAATAAAAATATTTACAAAAAAAAACAGTACGTAAAAAGTGAACTAATCCCTCAATGACCGCGGACACGCCGGCGTTACAGTTAACAATAGATTTCTTAGAAATTTAATTCATTTCTTAGAAATTTATCTGGAGGTGTTAAAAAGAAGAATACAAGTATTAGGTAGTCGGAGACAAACA